AGCAGAGCAGAGCTGGACCCTGTGAGAGGAGGAGACTGCTCCTTTTCTTCCTATCTGCCACTTTGGATGATGTCAGGAGTTTTACGTAACAGTCTGTCGCCACCGATTTCTTCTAATTGCCAGCATTGGCGAAGTTTCCAATGTTGTGTCAAGGCGCTGGTTGGAAATTAAATGAGCTTCCACATTCATGAGTTTAAACTGTAGCTGCAAATGTGTATCAAATCCAGTGTCTTGTCAAACACCACTATTTGTCAGCCCTCTGTATACTCCAGGGCTCTGTCGGAAATCACCCGCTGTATAGTGCATCATATAGCCTGTTCGCCATTTTGTAGGTCTGTCTGAATGTTAAGTTCCAATTGCTACACCCAATATCGTGCTCTCAAGGTATCCCACAATGCACCGTGAATAGTAGCGTAAAGCTGATGGTCACTAACCAAGCAACATCATGCATTGCATCGAAAGACCTTTCCACAGATTTCTGACGTCTATTTCATAGTGTAAAGACATATTTTCTATGGAATGTATCTTTTCTTATACAGGCACAAGAGAAAAATGTGAGCTGTGGCACAAAAATAGTTAAACTAAAAACAAGAATTCATATTAATATGTTTAATGGAAGCAGAACAATGTATCACAACACCAACAAAGAGTTATTTTCAATAATTAATTTTAGAAAAATACGCTCAGTATAATATGGATTTATAAAAATAAAAAAAATAAAAAAGCGAATCGGTTCATTACTATAGCCAGCATCGGTCTTGTTACGTTATAATTGAACAACAGCAGAGACGTAATTAACAGCACTGAGACTCGAGTTTGTTCGAAAGTGTTGCAGACTAAACTTTGTGCTTTGTGCTAAGCATGTGCTGAGGTCTGATGAAACTAAAATGGAACAGTTTGGTCATAATGACCATCGTTACATTTGGAGGAAAAGGGGGAAGCTTGCAAGCCTGAGAACACCGTCCCAACTGTGAAGTACGGGGGTGGCAGCATCATGTTGTGGGGATTTTGCTGCAGGAGGGACTGGTGCACTTCATGAAATAGATGGCATCATGAGGAAAGAACATTATGTGGAAATACTGAAGCAACATCTCAAGACATCAGCCAGGAAGTTAAAGCTTGGGTGCAAATGGGTCTTCAAATGGAAAAGGTTTGATGTCTTTTTATACAGTGTACGCAAACTTCTGGTTTCAACTGTAGTAGTTGATAGATGAGGAGTAGGAAACGAGAGGATGATTTCGGACTGACTGTTGATTTGCTGTAAAGTCTGATCACAGCTAATCATTTTGGATATTAAACCCCATCATTCCCCTACATATGGGTCAGTAGGGACCTCTTCAAGCTTCTGGTTGGTCCAGCAGTCAGCGGATTTTCAGTCAGAAGACTTGAGGCTGAATTTTGGACCATTATTATAGTATTATTTTTTGGCTTAAGTCTCATTCGCAGTTTCACTTCTACCCACAGTTTATCACTCAGTGTTTTACTTGTGTTTTCAGTCCATGTTTGGTTAAGTTTAGCCACTGAAGCTACTTGGCAAAGTTTAAGAAAAGGATCACGGTTCATGTTACAAAGAGCTATTTTGTACGTTTCAAAGATAATGACTCCACCAGGGACTTTCAATGCACTTGTTCACACAACTGCAAGAGGTCACCTACATAATTGGGGTTTCTTTCTGTTTAACAATCAGCAGAATTAATGATAATGCGCCAACAAGAAGGTGGACTGAATGAATGAGGTGTATGGTAATGATGTGCAGTGATAGTGGCCATTTAATGGACTCATAATTGGATTTCACTGTCCTCTTTGTTCATACAGTTTGTGTTTGGTACATGCTGCTGGTATTATAGCTGTTTCCTAAGAGATTATACATGAAGTTAAACCTGCAAAACACTCACTGCCAGCGTGATTCATTTGTTTTCTCAACAACATCCAAATGGCAACTAAAGCACAATTCACTTATCTAAGGATGTTTGAAGGTTGTGGTGAAAAATTCAGTGCTGGTTTAAAACACATTTAGTTTTTCCAGTTATCAACCAAAAACACAAAAACTCTTCCTCTAACCATGACATTTAGTTCTAGCACCCAGTTTAATACCCTCCTCCTACTCAACCTATAACTCTGCAGTGTTTTCAGATTTTAAGACCTTCTTCATTATTTAGTTTACCCCATAAACGCATCAAACAGAAGATAACGTGGCTTTGAAAATGAATTTTATAAGCCACAAATTTCAGCAGCTGGCCCAGACAGCCTTCACTTATTGACAGAGATCAATACTCCAAAACATATTATGGTTATTTCTATTTGCTCAGCAGTAGTAAAACCGTATTATACGTCTCTTTAATTTACAACACAATTCTCTTTAGAAAATAATGCGCAGCTCTCCCTAACATACCGCCCGAGTCCTCTAATTGTCTTTCATTCCAGGACAAATTACATGTTCACTTTGTTAACAATTAACTTGCAGCACAGAGGCCATTGTGGCATCTGTCATCTGTTTCCCTGCTCCTCTCACTGCTGTTTGCTTAACAAATTCATGTCACCGGGTAATGCTACAGTGCATCACGACAGACAGGACACTAAATATACAAGATGTGTGATTATCGGGCTGTGTAGCCGTGCCACGCAGAGCGAACGCTCTTGTTTGCTTTACACCCCCGTCCTCCTGATGAACGATGTTAAGATGACACATCGGTTTATGGCTGGTTTGTGATTGAAGGCGTTTTAACAAGAGGAGAAAAAAAAACCTCAGAACTCCTGTTTTACAGTTCACACTTTACTTCTTCCCTGTAAAATGTGATTAAAGCCAATCTCTAACAGTGATTTGCTTAATTAAAACTCAGTGTAATGAGGTTATCAAACCTTCAAACTTAATGAAATGCTCATAATGTTTTCCGGCCCTATGATCATTTTAAAGGCTCTAAGTGAATTTTTCACGCAGTCAAAAAATTCACAGAGCCTCTGATTGTAGCCGTTCAGCTCCAGATGTAATAAGGCAGAGCAATAAGCGCCGACGTTTTCATTATGCTGCAGTCGTGTGGTGATTGATGTCGCACAACAGCGACTTAAAGCTACATGCTCTGATTTTGTTATCGGAGCTCAAAGCTTCCTGTCGGCCTGAGTTCTGATGAACCAGCAGTGACCTGAGAGCACAGTTTGGTGCCAATGGAGAACACAACACCTTCAGGAGGTGTCGTCTTTCACCTTTAGCCAGGACATGAAGTCACACGAATAATAGCTTTTTGTTTGCTGCAGTCTGTTGGACCAGCTGAACACAAAAGCTGATTGGAAGTTTGGATATCAAATCTGCTGGTAGATTCATTTGAATACCACGAGGTGCTTCATTTAAAGGGACGACAAAACAAAGCAACTTTAAAGGTCCCATATTTTACCCCCTTTTGACCAAGTTGAGTGTGCATTTCAAGTTTCAGCTAAAACTGCTACACAGATTGTTCATTCTATTATGCCTATAATACCCCTGGTTTAGCCCTGTTTCAGTGTCTGTAGCTTTAAATCCAGCTAAGCTGCTGCTGCTGACACCTCTTTCAGGACAAAAAAAAAAAAAAGGCTGTGAAGCTACAACAGGCTGCAAACCTGAACGGCTCATTCAGAGACACCTTTACTGGTCGATGAAGAAAGTAAAGATGGGGATGGTTTTTTTTCTTATTTTTACGGACATGCAATTTACAACCTGAGTCGGACGATATTATATATTATATATTATATGTCGGTGGAGGTGCATATGTTGTAGAGATGACAGAAAAACATGATGAAACATAATTTCTAAAAGGTGGCGTCACATAGTTTGTCCAGCAGCTCCAGCTATATTGTTTTTACTACTCTCAGCACCGTCGCAGCACATGTAGCAGAGCATGGACCACAGCTGAGGAGATGGTGGTGCGGAGTCGAGGTGTGTCTTTATTGTAAGTTGCAAACTACATATACATTGTTAGAAAGTTAATAAACAATGATTCTGTCGTTTTCCCTTCACAGTATGACTCTAACATGCCATATGTATTTATATATATATATATGAATGTATGTATAGAATATTGGCCAATATATCAATTTTGGAATTGTTTACTCCCTAATAAATTGGCATTGGCCCAAAAAACAGAAAACAAAACAAACAATTCCCCCCCAAAACAAATCAAATACAGTACAAAACAAAAAAAAAACAATGACTTATCAGTTGACTCGATTGATACTTTCCCTGTTGAAAATCAGTGGTATCAACCAAACAAGCAACAAAACAAACAACAACCTCCAAAACAAACAACAACACACAAAAAAACTAAAACAAACACAATGAAGTACTGGTTGACTCTATTGCAGTTATGTTGAAAAACAATGAATAACCGGATTTTGTGTAATATGACCCCTTTCAAAATCATTTGCACCACCACCTGCTCAGCTACATGTGCTGCAGACAGTGTTGACAGTGTTAAAAATAATATAGCTGGAGCTGCTGGACAAGATATGTGATACCCCCATCATGTTGTTGTGTGATCTCTATACCGATATGTTTGTTCTATTTCGTCAAGAACATGAAAGAACATGAACACGAAAGTTTTTAGTAAATAATGGTGCCCTTTACATTCCAGCTGTAACACAGTTAAAATGAAGGTGCAACCATTTTTTACAGTGGTATAGTCTATCGTCTGTTTTTCCCCAAAACTTTTTTCGCCTTTATTTTTCTGAAATAAACACAAAAAAAGCACGAAGGTGTCGGGTTGGACGTCACAGCGGCAATGACTGATGAGCTAAAGGAACAGCAGCTTCACCAACAGCAGCTCTGAGGTGAAATCAGCACAGTGCTGAGCGCGATGATTGATTGTGAGGCCAGCGCAAAAGCAACATTGCTTTTTTTTTTTCCTTTTTTTTTTCTCCCAGCGCCTGTATGAGAAAATGTCATCCAAAAAGGGAATCATAGGAAAGAAAAAGGAAAAGTCATGCTGATGTTCACGGACCGGCGGTTTTTCTCATTGGTGATGGCGACTCACCTCTCTGATGGCTGTGCAGAACTCGCTCTGAAGGACCTTCTTCAGAGACTGGAGCTTGTGACCGGGAACGTCGCCCGACTCCTGCAGCTTCTCCAGCAGCTCGATAGCTCTGGCAACATCTGGCAGCAAGAGGGAGGGAGAGAAAGGGGTGTGAGTGTATATATATATTTTTATCGGTGGTGCCAAAGGGACAGAGGAGGAAAAAAATGCCCCTTTCAATTACATTAACAGCACAGCCATGACAAAGGCGCTCTAGCGAATCAATGGGTGGGATAATGGAAATAGACTCGGTCGAGGCCAGCGAGGAAGACAGAATCCCACCCATGGATCGTTTGCATTGGCTTAACTCTATGCATGAGAATAAATGAGGGGCTCATTTGTTCAAAGGGAACACTTCCTGGACCGATCAGGCACCGGCGGGCATTACGAAGCATTTACACTAAACCCTAAGCCTTAAGTTAGAGGCTGCGACACCGAGGTCTTCCCAGCTCTCCTCCCCTAATTAGCTCGTGCCGATTGAGTCCGCCAACTTGGCTGATTAATTTCTTGCCCTCTGAAACCGTCAGGCCGAGCAGAGATACATAATGGAAGGGGAGGGAAGTGATTTGGTACTCAATCACTGCACTTGGATTGTCGGGTCAATAACATGTTTTATTCAGCTTGTGTGTCCAGAGACCAGCGGCCACACAAAGAGAGATGACTGGTGCAATTTTTACAGTGGAGATGTCAAAGTTGCATTCTCGTTTCACCCCGAAATGTATTGCCGTGGCTCGTTTTCACTGGTATCGCTGTAAACAGACTAAAGCTAAGGATTATTTTCATTATCTGTGAGTCTGTCGGTTACATATCGGTAAATCAATAAATTATTTCACATAAAAATGTAAAAGAAAACGAAATGAAAAATCTAATCGCATGTTCCGAGACATGGTTTCGTCCAAACTCCCCAAATGTTCAATTTTCAACAGTATAAAACAGAAAAATGAATTAAACATTTCAGCCTGACACATGACGAATAAATGTTTTAGCTCTTTAACCTCCTGAACCCTAAAACCTGCCAGCACCAAAATTACACCATTTACCAGAGCCAGAGCCTGTAAAAACTGTGAAAATCTGGCAAAAAGGAACCGTTTGCTCTAACTAGATTCTGTAAAAAGCAAAAAATTCTGTGGGACTCGCTGCAACCGTTAAGCCATTAGTGACTCAGCTAAGACACACAGCGATGTGACAAAAATTCAGGAACCTTTCAGCCAAATCAGCTGAGAGGAGACACGTATGGAAACAAATTAAAAATCCATCCATCCATCATCTATACACCGCTTAATCCTCACTAGGGTCATGGGGGGCTGGAGTCTTAGGGTGAAGGCTTGGGACACCCTGGACACTGATTTCAGGTTTTCTCAAGTAAACAATCAAAGAAATGCAACTTTCTTTTACCCTTTTTTAAAAACAACGTATGGCATTTTAACTGTATCTCAGTGTACAGACAACATTTTTGAATCCTCTCTACTTCTAGTCATGGTTGTGCTGTTTCCATGGAGGTGAAGGACTTTATATTGCAGTGAAAAAAGATCCCAAAGTGATTAGAAATGTAACAGGAGAAGAAATTGCCCAGAAACTGTTTGTGGGGCTTCGAGGCTTAAACACCAGGAAAGTTAGTTTTGGGAATACTTCTAAATGAATTTTTCAGATAAATTTCACAGTTTATCAAGTTAAGTCAAGTCAAATCTGATTTATATACACCAATATCCCAAATTGCAAATGTGCCTCAGGCCACTTTAGAATCTGTGCGCCGCAAAACACAGTCCGTCTTCAAACCCTCAATACACACAAGAAGAAAAAACGTCTGACTTTCCCGGTCAGACAGACGTGCAGTGGATGTCTTGAGCCCAGAACACAACAACATCGTACATTTACAATATGGACAGCCAGAATGACTAAATTATAGAGAGCGTATAAACATATACCAGGAGTTTATCATGCTCATTTAAAATGATGGGCCAACAGCAACAGAACGCCCACACCGCACTTTGACTGACAGCTGAGCAGCTGGTTTAGAGTCATGCCACCCCGTCGATGCAAAAACAACATCTTTCCTTTTTACGACACCCTCACAGCTCCAGCTATGCTTCCAACCATGCTGTCCGCCGTCGATCGATACGGGACCGTCATGAGGGAACAGGTTCTCTATACTACAGTCCATGTGTTCCGTAGTAGCCACTCAGGTTTGTGCATCACATGCAAGCCAGAAAAAATGGAGTAAACAGCCACACATGACTTGTTTACTGCTATGTGTAGCAAATAGAGCTGATTTTAGTTGGTTTTATGTAGTTTAGTGAGACAAAATGCTACATTTTAGTTGCATCATTAAAATATAAAAAATTGCTATGATTGTAAATTGAATATCCTTTGTTTTGGTCAGACATAATAAACCATTTGGAGATGTCACTTAGGGTTAAGAAAGGGTGCATTTATAGGATTTTGTGGCACTTCAGATGAAACAATAATAGGTTCATTAAAAAGAAAATGGTAAACAGTCTGCACTTATACTGAACCTTAACTGGGCTCTACAAAGCTCTGCCAATGTGTTCTTTTTATTTACAGATACCAATGGCATCTTGCCTAGAGACACTTCAGGACACGAAGGGGCGAGGAATCAAACTGCCAACCTTGCTGGCAGCTGACAACCCACTCCACCACCTGAGCCATGGCTGCACAAGTCCATCCATCCATTATCTATACACCGCTTAATCCTCACTAGTGTAGTGACAACCAATCACACTCACATTCACACCTACGGACAATTTAGAATCACCAATTAACCTCAACATGTTTCTGGACCTTATGGGAGGAAGCCGGAGAACCCGGAGAGAACCCACGCTGCACGGGGAGAACATGCAAACTCCACGCAGAAAGATCCCAGGTGTCCTCACTGGGATGCGACCTTCTTGCTGCGAGGCGACGGTGCTAACCACCAATCCACCATGCACAAGTCACAGCACTGATAGCAACTAAAGCTGATCTCAAGGCTCCTGTTTCTACACAATAAAGGAGAATGTGCAGCTCTGGTGACACTTTAACAAGCAGGAACTACAATCCGAGTAGCGTCTCTCCACAAGACTGTACCAGCATCTTTGTGCACACAGTCGTAATACACATACACTGTGCTTCCAGACACCATACACACACACTTATGCTTCCATCATTGCATAAGACACTGATTTGCATTAATTTCCTGGAGACTTTCCCAAATCACAACTACTACTAACTTAACTCTTGCCTTTGCCAGAACCTCTAACCAATTCCTCACCTTAAAATTTCATGATTTATATTATGGGGACTTCCACAAGAACTTGTCAAGCAGGTCCCCATGATGAGCCTGTGTGAACAGGAGTCCCCACAACATTAGGAATATATACACACACACACGCGTGCTGATATTGAATTCTGGGAATAGCAACTCAACAAAGCAGACGACAGAAGGAAGAGATTTCACTGCATGCAGGCAAGAGAAAAGAAGCAGCGTCGACGACTGTGAATACTGTATAAAGCCATAATAAGAAGTGAAACATGCATATTGTACATTAATGCTTTATATGATTCCACCTTTACACTGAGTATAATTAGCACGCCTCGCAGAAATCCACTGGCTGTTTCTATTTCAAGCGCCCTGTAATAAAGCACCGAGGATTATATTGATCCTTTTGGAATTGCAGGTTCTGTTCCCATCGAGATCATAGCGAGAAATATTCCACTGAGACTTCAGCTGGCAGATGAGAGTCTTCAGGATAATAAGCCATTAATCAAATAAGCACGAGCCTCAAATTGAGATGTAGTCACATGTGTGTGTGTAAATAAAATGACACACAATGTAACTGGAACTGTCTCTGTACCTGTCAGTTTTTTTTTCCTCCGTTTCTTGTTTTCCTAATCACAGTTCCTATCACTTCCAGTCCAACCAGCGGTCGCCCTCAGCGTGTTCCCGCCAGTTCCATTCACCTGATCCCCACACTCACATGTGCACCTGCTTCCTATCCCCCGAGGGACTGTAAACCCAGCCCAGCTAGTTACTGTTGCTATGACCGCCAAGCTTTTCTTTCTCACTCGGCACATGCGGCGTAAAACGATAAGAGTGGCACGTCTACGTCTCCATGTGGACGGCTGAACTCAGTTTGGCTGCTGAGCTGATATACTTGTTCATGTTTTCAACCAGCATGTTTTCACTTTAAACATTACAAGAGGAGAAGTTTTAGGGACGAGAAACACCAGATGCAATGTTCAAACAAAACATAATTAAATGTGTTTGGAAAAAAAAGATTTACAGGTAATGTTGCCTACGGCTCCTTGAGATTAAACTTGTCTTCTTAAAGTCAGACAGCACAAAGGAACAGCTTCTGCACAGTTAGGAAATACTACACAGCTGTAAACTGTGTGTTTTTTTTTTTTTTTTTAAATGTAGTGAGCTAACGATGTGATCCTTTGCCTATAAAGGTCCATACTGTGCCCTGTTTCAGCAAAATAAGTCTTACATGTTTTTAGAATGTGTCTTTACATTTATTAGCATAAAATCTTGCAAAGATGGTTCATTTCACCATGATTTCATAAGGGTTGCTTGCAGAGATGCTGCTGTCCACAGGAGCTGTCTTCAGGAAGAAAACTCTCTCTGTATGTATGATTGCTTGGAACAAAACAGTGTGTGATGCCCAAACATTCACTCCTAACTTTCTCTCTGAGTGATCATTTCACATTGAAATATCACTAAATTCACAGCACAGTTGTCATTTTAAACTCATGTATATGGTGAGTTTGTTGGACAATGCTGCGGTTTTAAAATCAGTATTTTAAGGATGCAAAGCAGCAGTTTGGAATCGGTTCTTAAGTGACTGCTTGCTAGCATGTTGTCTTATTAATAATTAAAAATATGTAAACAAAGAACTCAATGGGAATTCGGCAGTATTAAAAAGCAGTGTATGTGAGCACAGTGTGTAGGAGAGAAGCAAGCAGATGTAAACACCAGCTGAGTTGAGGGTGCATTGAAGCACAGCAGGCAACAGTAAAAGACTCAGTGTTACAAATGTCCACAGAGCTGTCAACATGCAATCCAAGTCAATGGTAACGTTAC